TTGGGTTCGGGTTTGGGTTCGGTTCAGGTTTGTTTCAGCAATTTTTATCCGGACTGCAAGTCATCCCTCAAGTTGGGTTCCCGTTTTGGATTTGGTTCAGTTCGTTTCGGTTCATGTTTGGGTTCAGGTTTTGTTCAGCAATATTTATCCGGACTGCAAGTCATCCCTCAAGTTGGGTTCCGGTTTGTTTTTGGTTCAGTTCGTTTCGGTTCATGTTTGGGTTCCGGTTTTGTTCAGCAATATTTATCCGGACTCAGCAAGTCATCCCTCAAGTTGGGTTCTGGTTTGTTTTTGGTTCAGTTTGTTTCGGTTCATGTTTGGGTTCAGGTTTGGTTCAGCAATTTTGATCCGGACTGCAAGTCATCCCTCAAGTTGGGTTCAGGTTTTGGTTTAGTTTGTTTCGGTTCATGTTCAAGGGTTCAGGTTTGATTTAGCAATTTTTATCTGGAATGCAAGTCATCCCTCAAGTTGGGTTCAGGTTTTGGTTTTTGGTTCAGTTTGTTTCGGTTCATGTTTGGGTTCAGGTTTGGTTTAGCAATTTTCATCCGGACATTTCCTCAAGTTGGGTTCCGATTTTGGTTTTGGTTCACTTTGTTTCAGCTCATGTTTGGGTTCAGGTTTGGTTCAGCAATTTTGATCCAGACTGCAAGTCATTCCTCAAGTTGGGATCGGGTTTTGTTTGGGTTTTGGTTCGGTTCGTTTCTGTTTATGTTTGGATTTCGGTTTGGGTTTGGCTCGGCAATTTTTATCCGGACCTGGTTTGGTTGCATTTGGAATGTAAAAGCGAGTTGCTAGGGACTTTCATCTTCTAATCGTCCACAAATAAAATAAACCACTTTTAAGGGCCCATTGCAGGACTCAGTCGCATGCCAGAATAAACCCGGCCACATTACACTGCCACTGCAAATTTCCAAATGAAAGTTGAGTTGCGTATGTCGTATTTCCTATTTCGTCTTACCCCAAATGCTTCTCAACAACCTTTGGAAATCGAAAACGTTAAAAAAATACCGCTTTTCTATTTCTTCTTACACCATGTACACATCGATTGTCAACCCAACTTGGAATTGGGACACTGTTTACTGATGTCACACACAAATTGTTGTGCAGCAGTTGTGTGGACTGGTTCCCACCAATAAACGATGATAACTGGGACAGTATAACTAAGGACTGGGAACCAGCCTACACACACGTACGGTACCCTACATGTACATAGACAACTTGAAATTTGTCCGACATTTCAGAAACGATCTCAAACTGAATATTTAAGCGAGTAATTTCACAGAACTGGAATTTTTCTTTTCTTTGTAAATTTTTGGTTTTCGGTCTCATGTATATACATTGTAATTATTTCAAGCACCAAATACTTGGGATTCGTAATGCCTATAAGCAGCGCGATTTTTCCAAATTGCTGTCTGTGCTCGTGTATGTTGAGTTCATCATATAAGGGGATCTTTAGGGTTCATAAGGGATATTTAGGGGGAGTGTTGCCTAGTGGTTAGGGTTTGTGACTCATGATCAGAGGGTCATGGGTTCGAATCCAGCCGCTGGCCATATGTTGTGTCCTTGAGCAAGCCACTTCTTCACCACTTGCCTCTCTCCACCCAGGAGTATAAATGGGTACCGGCATTAGTTGGGGAGTAACTTGTGATGGACCAGCATCCCGTCCAGGGGGAATAGAAATATTCTCAGTCATTTCATGCTACTGAAACCGGAGACAAACGCCGGCCTGATGGGCCACATTGGCTCGTGACAGACTTTACTTTAGGGTTCAGAGCATAAATGAGAACTCAATCACCTTACACAAGTCACGTCTGCATGTTACACAAATTGCAAATTACAGATTGTGTAAGTTGACACAAGTACGCAGACATAAAGCTTTAGAAGAAACCTCGCACTTACAGTTAAATGGCAAACGAAGATGAAAGGATTATTTTCTGTCTCTTAATTGTCTAAGGAAGAACATTTCCTACATTACCAAAACAAGAAAGGAAAACCTACATGTACCAAGAAGTAACTATTCATTCTATTGGCAGATAATTGGATTCCCAGAAAATGAGTTTATGAAACAAATGACCTTTCTTCATAATCCAGTTAAGTAACTTGTTTTGCGGGAAATCTTGAAAAAAACAAACACATCTTAAATCTGTTTTCATTTTGGTTTTAGATTTCATTCTAGTCGTGCTGCGACTGATCCGCAAAGTTCGGTTCGGTTGCGGTTCAAATTTTATTTCTCCAAGCATGCCCTGAGCACCACAAACTTGCTTCATGGCAATAATTGCTGATTAGTTTTGTTCTAAGAACAAACAGGTCCTTTTACTGTACTAAACTTATGAAATCATAATTATTTTTATATTTGTCAACAAGCTGACAAATAGCTACCGTAAACAAAAAAACAAATTTTCGATTCACAATTTTCATCAAATTCCATTCTGCAGAAAAAAATGTGCGACATTGCAGAAATCTCGATGTGTCAGGGCCACCACATGATTGTGTCGTGCGCAAAATTAACCGAACATCATGGACGACAGCAGTGACACGGGACGTATTTAATGGACAAGCCAACGAAATCATCCATATTTTTCATATGTTATTTGTTTGGGGTCTGTTTCAAGTCAATCATTAGCCTCGTGAATGCCTGCTGACTGTATGAGGTATGTAAATAGAATCTGGGGTGGGATAATAGAGGTGAAAAAGGAACATTTTGGGGAGGCCATTCTGGAAGGGTCTCTTAAGACCACACTCTCAAGCCCTGGTTGTCTCTAGCACTACATGTGAATGAATATGACTGAGCATGTCAGCTGGAGTTACTCAAGCTATTTTGAATCGGGCCTGAATTCAGTGTTCGACGAGACACGTTCTCACTGAGCCGATTGCAGCTACGCGATGTCGCGCACTGATCCGACGAATAATAGCAACCGCACGCACGTGTGCGTCGTGCCAATGCTTGCGCGCACTTCGCTGCAATAACAAAATGAAGTACTAGTGCTAGCCTAATTTAAATTTCCTGTGGTGCGTTCTAGTTAAGAAGCACCGTTGGAAAGGCCTTCTTTTGTTGATTTCTCCAAAAAGACAGCTTTCCAGAAAGAATCATTTCACAGGGAGTTTAGTCTCCATATTATCTTTCAACCTAGCCCCATAAATGTGGCCAATTTACTGGACTACCTCCGTAAATAAAGGCCACACTTCCACCATGTACAAAAACATGTCGAACTTTGTCAAATTTTGATTTTCACATTTAGTCTTAGTTTGTACTTTATTTTTGCTTTAGAAGCATACTCACCCTCTGATTCTTAATACTAATAATAGGCTAATCAGAAGGTGCTGCCTTTGTCAGATGTCTAATGTTCGTTAAATTTCATGTTGAAATTTTGATACGCAAACGTGTGCAAACAAATCTGGAAATTTCGAACTCGGGATACAGGGACCATCGATTGTCGAATGTACGCTGGGCATGAAGACCAAATTGCGTCGTTCAAACATTAACACGAGTCGGAAATTTAACGTGTTCAAGATCGCGAGGGGATCTCTCGGAATTGAACGGAAAATTTCACTTTTCATCCGGATCGTAAGTAAACTTCAGTACAACTATCTTAATTATCGATGTCTACTTGTATCTCAGGTGGCGTATTTAGTAATTTGGAGGCCCTTTTGAGGGTGAAATCTGATGTTTTTGTTGGAAAATGTTGGTTTTTGGGACAGTGACAGAATTGTGTTGTCTCGCAGTATTAGCTTGGACCCCACTATCGCCAGACCATGTCCGAATGTTAAAAAGGCGATAAGTTGGGTCCAAGTTACTCGGACTAAGCAAAAATAAAACTACAAACTAAGCCTAAATGTGAAAATCAAAATTTGACAAAGTTCGACATGTTTTTGTACATGGTGGAAGTGTGGCCTTTATTTATGGAGGTAGTCCAGTAAATTGGCCACATTTATGGGGCTACTTTCAACCTAGACCCGTGAACGTGGCTTGTAAACTGACTCCCTCCGTTACACACACTGGACTTTATTTTGCCCATGTAATAAGTACTCACATATGAAGCTGTCTTGAATTCTATTTGTACGTCAAAACTTGCATTTGACGAAAATTGAGGAAAATTCTGGCCCCGGTTCATGAAGTCCGTCCGCTACTGCTAGCTGCCATTTTCTCCCAACTGACGCATGCGCATTGCGTTTTATTTTCGTATGATTCGACGGCTGTTTACTGTCGCAGCTAAAACAGACATCGTTTTAGACAAGTTTCAAGTCCTTTCCTCTCTCACCGCACCGCACGCGGTCGCAGGTGCGCCCGCGTGTGTGTGCGCACACGTACTGTACACGAGATGAGCCGAGCAGCCAATCGTCTGCGGGGTGTTTTTTTTCGGGGTTGCGACATGAAACAGCCGTCAATCTGTCCAAGCGACTCGGACGCGTCCGGGGTTATTTGTCAGGGTCAGGTTAAAATCTAATTTCTACACGTTCGTATGGGTCTTTACTGATGGGCAAATTTCGTCGAAATTACACAGCCTAAACAATCGCACGGGCAAATTTAGATTTCTAGGTGAGTACTCAACACCCATACGGAATTATGTATGTCGGATCGATTTCGCCAGGTTCGAAATGACACAAGAACGTGGCGTTGTATACAACGCCACGTTCACGGGTCTACTTTCAACCAAGTATGTTTTTCAACAAGAATTACGTCAGTTACTTTTTGGATAGCTGCAAATGATGAACTGTAGCTTTAACGGACCCAAAACAAAAGAAAGAGGGCCCTGTTCTGAACTTAACCACTGTACACAATCACTGTTCATTCAAATCATTGGCATGCAGGGAGTGGTAGGCCTATGCAGTGTACGTCATTAGTACTGAGTAATACGAATACTGTACACGAAGTGACGAACATGATGTTGACACACAAACACTTAATTTTTGCACATGCATGCACACACTGTACATGTACATGTACATGACCATGTACATGACCTAAGTCACAGTGCACATCGTGAATCGACGTCACTTACCCCACACCGGCACACAACATCCGCGTCTGTGGCCAAGAGATCAACCAGTTTCCCCTTGCCTTCATCGCCCCATTGTGCCCCCAAGATGACAGTGACCTTGTTGACTGGTTCAGTCCGCATTCTCTTCGAATTCTGATGGGTGTTGTTTATGAAAATTTCGGCATTTTCCATGTGGTTCGTCGAGTTCCTGTGATCGGCAGCCATAGTGAACTCGTCGACACTTGAATTGTACAAAGCGCGCGTAATGCAGCGCGGGGTTTTTAACCACAGTGCGCATGCGGGGTACAGGAAACGTCTTTGCACGCATCATGCGTTGGCAGTCACGTTACGTCATTCATGCTATTATTGCTATGCATAGAGCTATATTAAATTACAAAAAGTTTATAAAAGCGAAACAAAGAGCGAAACAAGGAAATTGTGAGTAATCGATGGACATATAGTAATAACAACCGAACAAAAGAACAAGTTTAAGGAATTGTTTTGAACGAAAGGACATATTTAAAGCGTTGTTTTGTGTTGAAACTCTGATCAATGGCTCGGAGATCGTGGAATGTTTCACAAACAGGATGCATATTTTTAGCTGCATGCAACGTACATAAAGTTTTTGTTGTTTATGAATAACAATAAGACCTGAATAGTTTAATAACCGTGTCGAAAAGGTTTTAGGTTTCATTGCCTTGTCGTTAGCACAGCAGTTCAGTCGGTATAAGATGTTAAGATCACCACCAGGTGCGTGCGACAAGTAGAGAATCGTTGGTTCAGCTAGGCCAAGTTTGGTTTTCAATAGTTAGGATTTTCTTTCAACAAAGAAAGTTCAAAGTGCCCTTGACCCAGCCTCGGCCCCTTGCACGCTCTTACCCCCCCCCCCCCCCCCCGCCAAAAAACATTAGAAATACCCGGCCAAAGGGCTAACCATCGGCGATTGTAGGTCTACAGAGGATCAAGATTAGGTAAAATTGTCTTGCCGAAATGTGTTTATGTTTTTTTCCAAGTACATTATGCCTAAAATGCCGTTCGTTTAGGCCCGCCTGAGCAGTGATATGGTTGCTAAAGCAAAGCGTCTGCCGTTATTAAGGAAAGCTAATCCTATTACGTACTTAGACGCTATACTGCAGAGCAGTGAAATTCATGCACCACAAAAAAAAACATGGCCTTTTGAACGTTGCGTTTCAATATGCTCAGTATGATTGAAATGTTAAATTATAACGGAAGAAGACATTAGAAATGGGAGAACAAAACCTTTCATAATTCAACTTGATTATCTCCAAAAGTGCCTGGAATTCTTCCGTCCTTTTCCTTGAACACGACGATATTTATTGGATAGGAACCTCATTAATATTCGTGAGGCTTGAAAAGTTTAACAGATATTGCAAACGCCAGTGTTACAACTTTCAAAAATGCACGTAGCCAGGCCTATTTTTCCAATTTCAAAGAAAAGTAATAAACATATTATCACAACTTCGTGAAAACGAAAATTTACAGTTTTGCCTTTTTTGTTTTCGGTTTCACGAACTAACACTCAACTTTTTCTCTCATTTCTTGTTGTTTTAATATACAAACGGGTCAAAAACAGCAAATTTAATAACATCAATACATCAAGTGTCCACAACGAGAAACCCAACTGAAAATACTCAACAGCTTTGACGCAAAGTGTTGTTCTAGAAGGCGTTCAACTTTAGATGCCGTTTTCTCCGATTGCTAGGTTTTACATGTACGTACATGAGTGTTACTTCGTGGTGTCGGTGACTACATGGATCATTATAAGGGAAATAAACTCTGAAAGTTGCATGAAGATACGGTTTTCAAAACGGGAGAAATAAATTTTCAAAGATTTCACCCGCCAACGTGAACATGTACATGTGCATGAAGTTTCATTCAAAATAAAGTGTTACGTAACCTTTAGAAATCGCCCTTCGCAACCATATGACTGTCAGGGCCATCATCATCGCCCATCGAAGTAAAAAGTTCCCTGACGACGGTCATTATCTTTTGAATTCAGTTTTTGGATCATAAAGGGCAAAGCAGCAAGATTATTAGGGAGAACGTAATCAGTCCATCAAGGGTCGATAGTAGCCTAGCCTGGTTTAATCATTGGTTTCATTATAAAAGGGCAGACCATAAACATAAAACTTCAAGCCAATCGATACTGTAAAAACGGGACACGCCTTTTTTTTTTTTATCGCTTGACACCGTTGATCTCCATTTCTAGAGGGCGCTGTGCCGTCTGCCTGATCAAACCATTGACGTCCGTCCGACATTCCACATTTGGTTTGATATCGAAGCACGTTGAGTGCAAGTCAGGTTCTCGGACCGGACACAGCACACTGTCCGAAACGTCGAGTTCTACACTCACCACCCGGTTCTTCAGAGCCACAATTTTTTGAAAGAGAAGACTAACCAAATGGTGTTTCTCTCGCAATCTTTCTCCTTTTTCTCAAACTTTATTTTCCCTTAAAAAATCCTGTAAACCACAAATGAGTAATTGTAAAATGTTCATAACAAAAAATAATAAAAACATCAATATAACAACGCTCACAAAAAACATCAACTACACGTTCGAAATAAAAACATCAACTACACGTTCGAAAAAATGTAATTGTTTTATTTCTAACGTGTAGTTGATGTTTTTATTTCTAACGTGTAGTTGATGTTTTTATTTCTAACGTGTAGTTGATGTTTTTATTTCTAACGTGTAGTTGATGTTTTTTATTTATAACGTGTAGTTGATGTTTTTATTTCCAACGTGTAGTTCATGTTTTTATTTCTAACGTGTATTTGGTATTTATATTTCTAAACATGTAGTTGGTATTTTCTAACCTGTAGTTTTTTGGGTTTTTTTAGAAAGTGTTATACTGATTCAATGTGTGGTATCGTGTCCGGCCATACACAGCTAGTAGAAATTTGCTTGTTAAAGTTTAAAACCTGTGCGCTTCAAAATGCCAATTATTTCTTCTAATGAATTTTCAATCGGTATTTTTTGTTTTAGCAAAAACTCTTTATTCCGATCTTGGTCGTCTGCAGTCATCTGAAAAAGGGCTTTCATTTTGGGTTCTGCCAGAGCCCATTATCAATAATCCAAATTTGGAGATGAAATAATTCAATAACTGGACTTTTTTGGTCATTGTCTCATTCAAGAGTGAAGGCCTTTCAATCTTGTCTCATTTCAATCTTGTCTCATTCTTGTCTCATTCAAGAGTGAGAGCCTTTCACTCTTGATTGAGACATTGACCAACACTTTGAAGGTGTCATTAACATGATAAATCAACAATGGCAGTCATCCAAAAGGTAAAAAAACTTAACTACATGTGCTCAGATTGTAATAGTAAAGTATTGAAGTGCTTCAAAGGTTTTGTGAATTAAATAGGTTTGAAAACACCGTAACTTATTTGTGCTCTGTAGGTTTAACTCAAAGGAAGACTGTGTGATCATAGGTCCCTTTTTAATTTTTGGAACATTTTGGAAATTTAGAACTTTTTTGTTTACATGTGTAAACGTCACATCCATAATATAGATTTATACACAATTCTTTTGCTTACCACAGCTTTCCCTTCAAATTTCCCATTTTCATCATACAGGTCATGTAGAGTGATGACTACACATGAAATGGTTGTATTCTGTTAAAGATCTTGAACTTTTTTTCAAGCCCTTGTATATTATTTTCTTTTAGTAAAATGCATAACCATAGTTTTTTAAAAGGTACCCATGAAATGTTCCGATTCATTTTTAATGTGGCTCTTACGAGGTAAGCAATTAAGGCATCACAATTGATAACAAGGAAACTGACAAATTAAAAAAAATACACAACAGTTTTCTGTATTCTTTACGATTATCTCGTTTTTTTTATTAACTACTTCTGCTTGTTTTATGTCTACTCAATATCATACCATTCAATTAACATTCATGGCAAAAAAAACCTGATCTAGACTGAAGTACTGCATGCAATCCCCTTGCTGATGATATTCGAATTACAGATGGGTATAGTTTTCAGAATTACAGAAACACTCCGAAGCTGCAACTTTGTTAGGGATGGAGGGGGGGGGGGAATTTTGAAAAAAATGAAAAAAGTTAGTTTTGAATATCTGGTTTCTATAATCTAGCTGAATTGTGAAATTCAAACTAAATTGAAGATATCCGGATTTTAATCCCGCCACTAACCTGGATGACTTGTGACTACAGTGGAACGTCGCTATACCGAACACGGATATACCGAACATTCGGCTAAACCGAACATCGTCCTTGGCTCTTGATTATTGTGTACAAAATGTACCGAAAGTTGCTGTTGAAAAATGTCAACAGAAGAGCAAAAAGTGGCTATTATTTCCCCAAGGAAAAGATGGGGAAAGCCACCCATTGCTGTAGGTACCAGTAGTAAGCTCACTATCTGTGTAATAACATTATTCATCAGTCGCTACGTGTTCATCTTTCAGTAACTAGAAGTACCAGGGCGTGCAGGGTGAAGTTCTGAAGGGCGCTATTTATTGAAAAATGAGTACCGGAGCACCAGCAGCTTAAATTTGCTATACCGAACGATCGCTATTACGAACAATTTCTGTGGCTCCCGCAATGTTCATTATAGTGGCGTTGTACTGCATATTGTGTTTGACTTGATTACAAATTTGTTATTCTGCCAAAAGACTGCCATGCAGAACGATATATATTGTTGATGTCCCCTAACGTGGCGAGGCCCCTAACATGACGCACTTCTAGCCTCCAGCGCCTTGCTTGTGCAAAAGTTTTACCTGAAATTTCACAGTGCAAGTGAAATTTCATCAGGTCCTTAACATTCCCATTCATGAGTTTATCTACCCTTAAACAGTTAGGAAAGAAATTTATTTTTGGCATGATTTTCCGATATTGTTTCGAAGTGCAAAGTGAACGCGCTTTGAAAATGCGCCCAAAAATATAAAATAATTTTCTGACAAACTTCTAGCGGGATCTGCGAGTATAAAAGATAATAATAGTTTATCAGTATTGATCAACTTGAAAGAAATTCTTAGATGTCAACTTGGGATTTTCCAAGATTTATTCAAGTGCGCCACGTTAGGGAACACACAGCCGATTTTGTGCCTATTTCCAAATGCCACCGTGTTTTATTTCGGACTCGATTTCATGACACTGAAATTGTTCACAAAGGTTAGATTTTGCACACCCCGTAGGGAGTTAGGGTTAAGGTAACGTACCAGTATTTAACTGAATGAATTTGAAGTTTGGCAACCCTGCATGAGGAAAGTCGGGGGGAAACGTTCACGTGCGCCACACTAGGGAA